ATGGTTTTCAGGGGGAGAGGAGGGGGGCAGTTGTCGCCAAAAGAGTACAAAGGGGGGACTATAGAAAATTGATTCCTGTCAATACAGGGGTGGGGGGGGGGGGGTTCGGAGGATTTTGCTTTATCACATAGTTTTCATGGGGAGAGGAAGGGGATCAGTTTTTGGCAAAAGAATACAATGGGGAGTTTATGCTCATTTTCCGAACAGCTGCTAGTATTTGAGCCTAGGTCTTTATCCGCCAATAAGCAGTCTCCATCTTAGATTCTTAGTTTAAGTTATTTTCTTACGTTCTGTAAAATTGGCCGGCATGAGTGGACAGTGCATAAAAATGTCGAATATAAGGCTGTGTAATGAAGCATTATACAGTGTGTATACGGAACAATATACTGATGTATATACTACCTCGTTCGACGTAAGTCGTGTCTGGGAATGTTTCACTCTCGCCATCAACAGCCGGCTTATCATCATTCACGATTAGGTCTGGAACAGCTGCGAAATCACAAGAACAATCAAGTTATGTTCAATATTCTATGCTAATGTTATTTTTATATTGATTTTTCACGGAGAACCCCTCCCCTCCTCCTGATCTTCCCTAACGCAAAAGCTCACACCTCTTCAAAAGATTAGTCAGACCTATGAGCAAGCTGATTAGGTGAAAAAAATTGATGGAAAAAAGATGCATCAAGTCTGCGCTTAGCATCCATGTAGGTTCGTCGGATAATAAGAACATATGTTTCATGTGATGGAGAGCAGGAGCGGGGAGGCCAGGGGGGGAGAAGAGGAGCATATTCATTTATTTTTATTTGAAGCTTGGACTTAATCGCATCCATTGAGTGTAAAAAGGACGACTATCTAAAGTGGTTTCTTAATGCTCAAAATCTTGTCTGATGTTTGCAGCAACCATATTACCATAAAATAAGGCTTTTCTTTTAAACATTTTCGGGAAAGGAATTTATTTTCGTTTGAGTGAATCGTGGCATCAACAACCCGTAACAGAGGTAACGCGCATATTTCTTGCTACTTCTCTCTCTCTCCCTTTAGGTGTTAAATCCCTTTTATTAAAAAATAGAAAGTTTAAATGCCCCACCCAGTGGACACATCATCTTGTCAAATACAACAAGAATAGCCTCTGAAAAGGAAATGAGGGAGTTGAAGCCTCTATTGAAAATCATTCACAATTACCGCGTTTTGAGTCCGTGTTGGTTACCACTGGATAAATTTCCTCATTACCGTTAGGAGGAAGATCATCGACAGTTCCATCCATTTCTACTGAAGAAGTAAGAAGCGGTCGAAGTAATTGTTTAAATAGATCATCCGTGAAGATTTGATGATTGTGAAAATAGATAACTATGAAGCACAAACTGCCAAATGATTAGCAAACTGTTTTTGACGGTCTGATGAACGTCGTTCTCTAAAATACATGTTGTGCTATCAAAAAAATTGAATGTGAGCTCTCCTTGCTGACATAATTTGGCATCTGAGCTTAAGAAATGAATCATTTTAACTAAACTACAACAGTCTGTTAGTCTATCTGGCTTAACTCTCTGAGTTATAACCAAGGAAGGAAGGAAGTACTGTCCCTGGAACTCGAGGGACATGCGGAGTCAATCATTCAAGAGAAAATGATAGAGACTTGGGATGAAAAGGAGGCCTGGATTAACTGACGAATATTCAAGGGCGATCATTATGTAAGAAGCTAATTGACATTGTTACTCAGCATCGTTCACACGATTCTCTATCCCATCCTTACGGGGGTCATTTGAAGTATCTAAAATCGTAAGTTAAATTACGTTAGACAGCTTGGTGTCCCAGTGATGGGGATCATCATTACCTTGATAACTGCGACAGTTATTATATTATAATTTCTAATAATCATTCGTTGCGTCATTATCAATGTCATTATCATAACCCTTATCGTTTTCATTCAGTCATTTCTATTGTTGTTTTCTTTTTCATTGATGTCGTCATCATCATCATTTTTGTTTTCTTTTTTTTTACCTTATTAGTGCTCGCATTCATTGTGAAATTAAATTATTTTGACGCCCAGTGCTCGATTTCATGGAAGAAATTTCTGTTACGTAAAAACAGCGACGTGGCCGTATTATTGATGTTATGGCAGGTCTTTCTCTTGTCTTTTTTTGTCTTTTTTTTGTCTCTTTTATCTGATTTCTTTTTTTCTTGCAATTGAAGAAAGAGATCAATCAGTTTTAATTGGTTAGTTTTCACTCTTGTCACCAACAAGTCGCTAATCAGCGTAATATGACTGAAGACAAAATTTCAAAGATCTCCTCAAAGTCACACTAAATGAGGGACCCACATCTGGTCTTGAATGACCTCTAACCACCGAATGAAAATTCGTGAATGGAAATGAGTGACTTCTTGTTTTTCTTTACTTCTTCAAGTTTCAGTTCAGTGAATTAAGAGAACATCTTTATTTTGAATATATTCTGTTTTTGTTCACTGACTTTTCCGACAGGTAAATAAGGGGCTAACTCAGCTATGTCTTGAATGGAACTTTCAATACATTTTCAGAATGAAAAAACATCCATGTCAAAATCTAACTCATATCTAAAATGTGCAAGGCACAGAATCAAAACATTAAACTTTTGAAACTCAATAAATATTGAAGCTGCTAAAGAACACTTATGATCAGATTCATAATCTCTTAGGACTAAATAAACATGCGCGCGATCTCTCGACAAAACTCGTGTTACAGTCCATGTGGCATTTCTACTTAAAAAATAAAGAGAGAAGAGTAAAAAGACTGTAATGAGTGCCTTACCATATGATCCCCAGGGCAAAGCCAGCGCCGATGCCACAATCGTCAACAAGAAGATTTCTTTTAGTAGAAACACCATGTTTCCTCTCTGACCTGATCTTAGCTGAGGTAGATCCAGAAGAATTGCAGTTTTGACGGTGATCGATCCCTTAAATAATCCAGTCTAGGTGTGATCCTATAGCGGTTTGATTATAACTTGCTATTAATTGAATAATATCTGCAGTGTAATTACATGCGACAGGTTTTTTTCAAAGATTACTTTCTAATTTTACAAATATCAATATTTTTATGATCTCAAGTTTGTTTCTGAGGAATAATTTCCCACAGCTAGAGATAATTAGATGACCGCAATTATTAGAACCGAAATTGCTTCAATTTGCCGTTGCAATACAGGAAACGACTTTACATTTATCAAAGACTTAATAATTTGAGTCTGTTTTAAAAGTTAAACAGATTTCTAATCACATACCTCGATCAATCATACTTAAAATCAATTACCTCAAGTTTTTTGTTTTTTCTGAATTCATCAGTCGAGATCTTTAAGCAGGTTTTTCGCCTAGATTGGTACGTATTTATACGTAAAGTCACCAGTCATAATATTTCAATCTGCCGCTGTGACACATATCATGATTTAAAATCCCCGTGTGATACGTCATTTAAGCACTCTGCAGCAAGCTTCATTTCTGGAATCATTATCGACTTGCACCAAAGCGTTTTCTTTTTCGTGAGCGGCTTTAATTGTGTCATTATTTTTTTTTAATATAGCGATGACACCTTAGTTGCTTTAATTGCGTAGAAATTGTATGATCACCGTGATGCTGTAATTACGAACGAACGGATCGTTTTTAGAGAATGACTCCTATAGCTTAAAAGTATTTAGACGATCACTGGTCTGTGTGTATCCGTACTGATACAAAATTTTGGTAAAATATTGTGGATGAGATGACACGATTAGTATTCCAGAGTTTGAGCTTGCCCTAAAAGCTAGCTTTGGTTTCAATCATGTGTTTAATTACCTTTCCAATCATTTATCACCAAACAAAACAATCCCCAATAAAAATTATTTTAGCAATCTATTTATCACGAGATATTTGTCCTTACAAGTCTTGTTTGGTTAAGTGTTTCAGGAAAGGAAGGGAAACGGTAATCAAGTTTGCACGTTCCAATATATTCTCGTTCTGTATATTATGGCCTGAAAGAAGATAACAACACGGCATTGGATAGACGTCCACGCTGCAATATGTATCATATTTGGAATCATTTTAAATTGCCTTTAAAATCGTTTACTTCTTATTATCGCCCTTATGGGTGGCACTGCTGTTTTTTAATATGGGCACGAAATCCTAATCATTATCTTATCGTGTAATAATTGTAGGGATCACGTGAAATCTTTTAATGATATCCATCTTATTTTTGCACTAATTATACCTCAAGCGTTCGTTTGATGAAAACCTGTCATGAAATATAATAATGATAAATTTACAAACTATTTTAATGCGCTATAGCTACTTCATTATCTATTGCAGCTTTAGATCTTTTTGAATAAGGGGATTTTTTAATTAAATTCTTAAGCTGTAGAAATGGCAAACAAGAAAAAAGTTAGATTAGATTTTTATTTTCTGTAAGTAAATAGCTTAAATATCATTTTAATGATGGGTGTGAAACTAGATGTCTTTTCATCCAAGAACTTCAGAAATTTCATTAAAAAAATGTTGCAAAGTTGGTTATCATAGTTGTGAAAGCTCCTTCAGATATAAATAATGATTTCTATCTTTAGTTTTCATTCATGATTCTTGTACGCCGACACATTCGAAGTTTTTACATTTCTTTCGCCCCCACTAGTAAGCCCATGAGCGCTGAAACATTGTTTTTACAGGAGTCTATAGAAAAAGAGAAATCGAATCAACTAAAAAAGAGCAACGTCCGAATTGGCAAAAAGAGAGATCGAACGCCCATCGTTTGTCAGTTTAGAACGAGGAAGGTGAAAATCAAATATATATGTCGTGCTTTCACTGGTTTTACAAAGAAATTCCGATAATTTTGCCTTTTTCTGTCACGTATCCTGTAAACACGGTATTCAAACTCAGTAAACATCCCTTGGATGGATCAACTGAAATATTCGAATACGCACTGCATAGCTAGGTCACCTCGCACTACCCTGGAAACGAGCTCCACGCTCTTCGCCCGCAATTCTACAGCGGAGTACTGGTGGAAACTATTCGAATTCAAAATGGCGGACGAAGAGAGAAGAAAGGGCGAAAAGAAAGGAACAAAATCCAAGGGGAAGCCAAAATTCCGCTGGAAGAAGCCGGCAAATTTACTTAACATTGGGAACAAAGAGAAGGGTAGGCGTTTTTAGATTAGATTTGGGAACTTAAAGGAGCTAGTCATCTCTAATTTGTCTTGAAGAAACCTAGCTTACATAAACTGAATTTTTGTCTTTATTTAACATACTGTATATATAGGCCACGCATTTGCTGAGAAACGGAAGAAGATGGCTCTTAAGCAATACAAAAAGCTACTAAGGAAAACAAGGGAGCAACATGAGAATCGTCAGTCAGCAGACAACAGAGATAATCCTCCACGTTTGCAACGTCCAACACGTGTCGCAGATGTGAATACAACTGGAAAGGTTTGCCTCTCCCGAACTTACAAATTTTTAGTGATATATCAGAAGAGTGATTGGCCCTAAACTTCTGGTCTTTTAATACAGAACGAAACAGAAAGTCAGGGAGTGCGAAGACCAAAATCTCAACAGTAAGTCAATGTAGTTATCATTTCCCGATCGGAAGTAAAATCAACCCAAAAATAGTGAATTGTTCCCAGCCCATAATTCTGTGTTTTTCAAACGTTTTAATGGTAGGAACCTTCTCTGCTCGCCCAAACCTTGCCTTTTCTTCCTTTATTATTTGGGATGCTTATTCAGGGTTCTCATTATGAGATGTAACAACAGGAGGACATTTTTAAAGTAGCAGGAGAAAACTTTTCATATCTGAATTTAAAACAGCTCTAGCCATTGGAATTTTGGTTTAACTATTTTACAAAAGGTATATTGTGGTATTTAAAGAAAGCAAAGGAATGATGGACTTACATGCACAGTTTTATGGAGCAGTGTGTAATAAGCCTTGGTTGACCTGCTAATTTGTGCCAATAGTGATTAACCCTTTCCACCCTAACATCAGTTTGCATATTCTCCATACTGTTCTCTGTACATTTCCCTGTACATTTCCATGGGTGCTGACAAGGAGAATTTATTGAACAATCAAGTTGCTTCTTTGGCTGTTGATCATTTTCTTTATTCTCATGACCTTAATGTGTGATACAGAGGTGATATTGTAAGGAGAAATTACTTGTAGATGCTAGTCACTCCTAAGGGTTAAGGCTGTTCATTGCCATGTTCACCCTTCAAGCACCTGTTTTATACACTGCGTTGCCGTGGAAAGTGTCATAAAATAAAAATAAAACTTATAGATAATATAGATCATTAATTAGAGGTGTATATTCATTAAACAAACCCTAATGAAGAGAAGTTTGTGACTTTTTATGCTCCTTGTTTCTTTGTGCTCCTGCAAGGAAGCGGAAACAAGTCAACAAATTCATGGCAGCTGAAAGTGATTTTAAGAAAAGAAAAATGGAGAAGGAACAGATGATTAAGGTTTGTTGAATTGACCAATGTTTAAAAATGTGTTTAAGCTAGATGTAGTTGATATGGTAATCATAATCTTAAATATTTTTTCTAGTTCAATTAACACCTGTTTTCTTCATTAGAGAGATGGTATTCTGATTGAATACACTTACAGGATGTGAAAGTTTATGTGGGATGACACAGTCAGTCAACCTCTTTATGTGCACTGTGACTCGTGTTTAGGAAAATGAAGCGCCTGTACATTAAGGGCCTGTGCTGCATCTTGCTACACATGCACAATGCTGTGCCACAATAACCTGACACAAGGGTGAAACATGATACAATGTCTGGATTTTAAAAAGTTGAAATAAGGGAGTAGAAATAGCTGCAATACTTCACAGGATGTTTGAAAGCAAACAAAAATCAAGTGAGAAAAACTGATGGCATAAGAGACAAGGCAACCTTACATGTACAAGGGACCTTATTTTCCTTTGAATCCTCTGAATACTCCCAAACACCCAATAATACTGGTCCTACCTCTTCCTCCAGCTGTATGAATATTTACTTTCTGATTTATTTGTTCCTACATGTATGCCACTGAAGCATGTTTGAACCAGGGCTCTCCAGATTTATTATTCTGCTACATGTTTCTGAACCTCTTTTACTTCTTTTGTCCTTTCAGTATCTATCTCCACTGTTTCACAGTCAAGAGGAATGAACTAAAAAATCAGATCTTTCTTTACAATTGAAAAACCCATCATCATCATTTCTTTTGTCAATAATACTTTGCCATGGCATTTCTCACTAAGTTTAGTGTGCTGATTATTTTCTTTCAATGTGTAGGAAAGGGAAACAATGATACAAAAACACAGAGAGGAGGTTCAGGAAAAGATGAAAAAGCGCAGAGAAACCTTTGGTCGGTTGAATCGACGAACAAGGAAAGGCCAGCCAATTATGGCCAACCAAATTGAACATCTTCTTGATAAGATTCAATCTCAGACTTAAAAAGTAGCAATGCAATAACTCATATGGGGAAAATCACAGATGAATGCTGCTCTAGAGAAGTATTGATAACCAGATTGAAGGAAATATATTGAACCAATGGTATTGAGATTGGCAACTGTTTGGACATTAACTGTACAGAGCTGATCCTTAGCAGCAAATGTGGTTTATGGATAAATATGTTTTGAAGCTATATTCTCTCTGGCAAATGGGTGTTATGCCTTTGATTGTACTTTGTGAGCTGTTACAAGAAGGTTTACATGTGCTTCATGGATCTTTCATGTGAAGTAAAAAAATTGGAAAATTTATCAGTTCTCTCACATTTAAAAGTGATACTGTTGTCTTACAATAGTAGTGGTCTGGTTCAAAGCTATCAGTCAGAAAGTCCCTCAGCCTAGAACTTGCCAACAATAGTAACACAATTATTATCCTGCTCAGGATTATTGACAGATATTCGTGTTTCAGTGTTCACTCATTCAAAAATCTTGTATTTTACATGGTATTTTAAGGCTTGTGAGCCACTCATAAAGTGCAGCATAAAAGCTGCTTGTGATATGTGGAAAAAATACAAGAAATCGCTCAATGGGATGGCGTCAAGCCTTAACCTTACAGAAGTGATTAACATCTTACTTTGTTTAAATATTGATACATTATCCAGCTAGCTGGATGTGTGAATGATAACTTCAAATTCTCAGAACTGATTTGTAAGCACAGTAATTTGGCATTATCAACTGAGTCAGTTGGTAGCCAACTCAGTGGATAGTACCAAATTACCTTGTTATAATCTCCTGTATAACACCACTGTTTCTTTAAAATCTTACCTCCTTTATTGATTTGTAATTAAGTCTGGCAATTGTAAGGGCGAATTACAAAACAGATCCTGGGAGGTTAAAGGTCAAATTGAGATGTTGCTATGTAATGAGTGCACCTGAAGGAGACAGTAGCAAGTTTTTACTGCTGTTTCTTCGGAAAACTTTTCCAAGAGCATTTCTTAAGGGGCGAGGTGAAAGAGACACCTTTCTTTCTTTTTTCCTCTTGGCGACCTCTTTGTAGAGCTCGTGAAATGCCTCAGAGATCTTCGTATGTCCTTCGGATGCCGAACCTTCAAAGAACGAGCATTGTAATTTTTCTGCAAGTGAGGCGGCTTCTTTTTCGGGTACTTGTCGTTTGTGTTCGAGATCCGATTTATTGCCGAAGATGATGACGACCGTTTTTTGCTTAAAAGGATCAATGAGATTATGAAGGTGTTGTATTTCCTCGAAGCTTTTCCGATCGGTTATTGAGTAGACGAGGATCAAACCGTCGGCCCAGATCGCTCGACTTCCCACAGTTTGTTCGTTTCTTGACTGAAAAAGAAAAACGGCGAAGATTACAAAGGTACATGTTAGGGCGTCCTGGTTAAAAGTCTGAAACAACTCGTGACTTCCAACGCCCAAAAAAAAAGCGTTCGTTTTTCTAATGCGTTTTTTTAAAAGTGGAGAGCACTTTTTGTGTCAGCTTGAGCCTAGAGCTGTTGTGAAACCAAAAGTAACGTAATCGCAACAGCTAATTGGAGCTAAGGAAACATCACGAGAGGCCGAGGGGAACTCTGGGTTGAAGCAAGCAGGTTGCTTCAGTTGAAGCGTAGGACCATGCCGAGAATTGGTTTTTGTTTGCATCTGATTGGCTGAGGGAGTTGAGCGAGCTTTTTAGACCAATCTCAGAGCAAAATAAAGAAAACCCTATGCAATTTTGGATTGTCGTGCGTAAAGAATAATGGCTTTGACCTAAACCAACCTCTGGACCTGGGTCTATAATCTCCAAGTTAACCTGCTCTTCGTCAATAGTCGAATTGAACTGATACGTAGAGTCTGCATTTTGCAAGAAAAAAGAAAGAAATGTAACAGCTTTTAGAAGATATAGATTATAAGTCCTCAAGGGCTTTGTAACAGAGAAGACGGTTTATGTAAAGATTTATGAAGAAGGAAACTAGACGATCGACGTCTATTACTGTGGTAAGCTTCCATTAGTTACATGACCCTAAAACGTCTTTTCTTAATAATGAGAGCTCGACTCAACGGGTGTACATCTGCGACTTGTATGACATCGTTAGGGTTTGAACTCTCAGGACCGCTGGTAGGGACATATCGCCTGTTCAACCTCAAACTGGAGCAGGTCAGCTGAGTCACAGGAGGAGGTCTGCGACAGATCCACTTATACTAAGAAGTTTATGGGCGCAGCATCACGATACTTTCACTCTTGTTACGAAGAGCAGAATTACCGTTTGAACTGTGAAATGTTCGCTTAGACAATTCAATTACAGCAAATTGGAATGGAGTAATCCAAGAAGGGACGATAACGGGTAACAACCGTTTACACCCTAGCATCAGTATGTAGATTCTCTATACTGCTCTTTGTACATTTCCTAATGTACTGACAGAAGAATTTGTGAAACAATCAAGAGCTTTGTTAGTTGGTGATCATTTGCCTTATTCTTGTGACCTTAATGCTTGATTTCGGGGTATTATTGTAAGGAGAAATGAGATGTAAATCACTCTTAGGGATGTGGCAAACTTACCCTGGGATGAGTCATACTCGCCGATAAAACGTTTCGTGAGGAATCTTACTGCGATTGCTGTCGAAGAAAACAATCACAACAAAACAGGGTTTGATGTACTTGAGAAAGTGTAAATAGTTACTTAAACCGCATTTACATCAGCGAGTATTCCATAGCTGGTATACTTTTCAAAGTAAAATTTTAATCCTTGTGCGTGCTAAAGCAAAAACAACTTGTGATAGCTACTTGGCCGTGAAAACTTGTAGGAGCATATACCTTAAACCCTTATCACGCTTTCTCGGCGAATTCCCTTTGAAAGTTATTCACACTGGTATAATGAATCTTTGAAAAGTTCTCTTTTTTCCTGACAAGTGTCCTTGTTCAAAGTCTGGCATGGAAGACAGGAGGAGGAAAGATTGACACTTGTCTCCTCTATACAGTCAGGGAAATCTCTCTTGTGTAAATGCGGCTTTAATAATTAGGGTGTTATAATCCAAAGCTAAGTTAAACAAAATTTTTTAATGGTCCAGATTTCCGTCGATAGAATTAAAGCTACTTATTGTCAGTTTGCCGCGTGCTTCCACTTAATTAGATTGAACTGATTCAGTTAACGTACAGATACGGTCAAGTTCCCTTGGTTTTTGGGTTCAGTTCATGATCTGATCAGGGTCGATCCACCAAAGGTCACTGGCGGACTATGCTTTATGAATACACTTATGCTAGGGGCAGGAACCAGTCAAAATAAATGGCAGAAAACGCTCTCAGTTGGGAGAAAACGTTCTAAGTAACTTTTATAAATCAGCAAAAGAAAAAAAACAACAACAACAACAACGACAACAAAAATGTAGTAAACAAAGCGAAACGAAACAAAAACACAGCCAAACACCAAAAGGAACAAAAAGAAACAAGAACACTTGCATGTGAAACCAAACGGCTAAGATGCCACAGCTATTGATTACTGTGCTGATCCAATAAAAGTCACAACCGGCTTAGCTCGAGGAATTTTCATTACCTGTCTGGTTGACACTGTGTTAATGTTGTAAGAACAATTTAAGCACTGATCACACAAAGGGTCAAAGGGCTACTGAAGACGTTCGCTGGGGTACCTTGAAGCTGGCCATCCTTACGATGATGTTAAACCATCGAATAAAGTGTATGAACTACTTCACAGATAAAGCAAGAAGACAAACAGCCATGATTTGAAAAGAAAGATAAAAAACAAAACCAAAAACAAAATCCTCCATTACATTCACGTTTTACCGAGTTACGGGAAGCTTAGAATGTTGTGTACGTGTTTGATGAAGTGTCCACAGCTTTTTCAATTTTTAAATTTTTTTCATGATGACTTTTCAGCAGTTTGATGTTAATGACATCCTGCTATAAAATTAAACGAAGAACTGAACTGTTTCTTTACGTATTCACCCTCTGTTTGTCTTGAATAGCCCTATTTTGATTTCTAAAACCTTCATCCAGATCACATTTTAAAAGAGTCCAAAGGGAAAACTTTTCCTGTGAAAATTTCTTTAATTTTCATAATTGAGATCACTTTTACCCTCGTTTTCAATAAAAGGCTTGGACATTTTGGAAATGACTTATCAGTTCACCAATTTACCAAGATGACAGAGATATGCTAAATCATTTACTTCAAGGCACAGGATTAAATGTTTTGCTAGAGTAAGCTCCCCTCTAATTAGCGCACTGATTAACAAAAATTGCTAAGTACGAACGAAAATCATATTTTACATTCCTATTTTATCAGAAGCAAGCTTTAGGAGACCCGTCATTGATTACGTAGCAAGAAAGGTTCGAAGTTCGATGAATGAACCCTACTCTTTTCACTCTGCTCTTTATGGCGACGGCCTTGTAATCTTTGAGCCTAATTTGTCCTAAGTGCTTTGTCAGTAATTCACTTTTAAAAGCATGATTCAACTAATTTATTCAACTCTTTTCTTTTGCTTATTTCGCTAGAGATAAACAGCCATTGTTTCCTCTTTTCAATTTGCTGTGTTTTAAACCTTTAAAAAACGCTTGTGCAAATTTTGACTGTGCTTAACATGCTCTGTGTATTTATCACAGTAAGAAAATTATATTTTCAATTTAAGCGAAATGTAAAAAATCAACTTCCGACATGTTATTGAAATATTCATGGTTGGAAGCCCTTTTCACCTTTTAGTTCTCCTTAGATTTAATGCCGTTTTTGCCTTTTTCAATCATGTTTCAATAATAACTTCAATTTTCTCGCACAAAGTGATAGAAGGACAATCAAATGTGGAACGTAATTTTCACGCAATTGTGAAATCCATACCTCATCTTCTCACTGTAACTATTCATGGCTCTAATGGAATATGGTAAAAACGGTTTGTTTGCAGAAGGCTGGGTAAAACTAATGAGTTTTTTCCACAGTGTAAACTCGTACATCTTATGTCTATCAAATATGTCATTACACAATTTAAAACTTAGAGGTTGATTAAACAAACTCTTTTCTTTCGAAGTAATGCAGATCTGAATCATCAATGACTAGCTCAATTTGACCCGAAAACGTGATTCTGTCAAACTCTATCCTGATATAGGAATCTTGATATCTATAACTCGAAACTTTTGCTGGAAATATTTTCAAGTTTTATTATTTTCATCTTAGTTTTATGTGTGACCCACGGTTGAAAACATTTCATTGTTAGTTTGAACCTCAAACTCTGAATCCCTATTAATCTCAATTTTCTGTCCCGTTTAAATAAGTACATTAGATCACTGATTGAAAGACGACAATTATAATTATTTGTTTCCTGTTCCGTTGATTTAGATTGTTCACTCAATCAATTTCAATTTTGGGCAGATGATGTAAACATCGATGTCGCTAAAGTCTTAAGGATTACTCAGATAATACGCTATGAACATCTGTATTTCAAAATGTGCGCGTACATTCGTATATTAATTTATAAACTTTTAGTCGAATCTGGCCCTATAAACCCAAAGTCCATCGAAAACAACCTGTTTCAGAAGCACTAACGTTTTAGGTACTCGTTAGCTCTTTTTTTTCAAGTTGCGTAACTTGATTAGACCGCATTGTAACACCTTTTTTCTGTAACACCATTGCAGTTTAGTCCGCTGTAGTTTTAATATATATTAGAAGAGATGTACACGTGATTTTCCCAGTGAAAAATTTCCTCAGCAAGTTAACCTTGTAGGCCTTACAACTCTTCCCAACATATGTTGCAGAGGTGATGGAACCATAACAGTCTATATACGTGTTTGTCAAAGTTTTGAGGCTGCAGATTTTACCCCTAATCTTATAAATGCGCACCATCCAGGTTCGCCTCATACTTTCAGTAGATGGTTATGTCCTGTGGACGGCTACACAGCTCTGAATAACTGTATCTTCGAGTTTAAACTCGAATTTGAGGAGGAGCATCTTAAACTCTTTGGTATCCTAACGAACTTGAGTTTTGGCCGGTTCAGGCGCTCATTTTGATCTCTCGTTCCAAGAGAAGACGCAATTTGAGGAAAGGGTACCCGTTCTTTTCAGGTTGATGCATTCTACTAAAATCGATAAATTCTGTAGGCTTTAATTTGTCTCAAAGTTAGAGAGCAACCTACCAGATTTGCCCACGTTCCTTGCCCCCAACAACGCAAACTTGGCGTCCGTCTGTTTATAGGAGTCTCTGCGTGTTAGCATTTTAGTTGATGTCATAGCTGAAGAAAATTATGATACCTCTGGAGGTGTTCACCCACAAAAGTAACACTGGTTTTTGTATGGAGTTTTGACTTAGTAAAAACGATCACAATGAAACTCTCCTGCTGGTTTGTAACTACATGAGGAAATTCTTAAAATGTCTGGCCTCGCGGAATTAATTGTTGCTTTGAGAGGCGTGTGAAATCAATCAACTCATAGCCACTGTTATTCAAATTTGGACCTGTTAGTTTGCCTAAGTTACGATTGTTTTAAGTACTGCAATCAAGGATTCTTTAAAGTCGAGACCAATATAAAATATATAGAAAGAGGAGAGAAATTACTTTTGGAAGCGGACATTCTTCGAGAAGTTTGGATGGGAAATGATTGAGGTTTAGGGTTCTACGTAACGACAGCAAAATGTATGTAATGCAGTGTTTAACAAGGTATTTTGATAAAAAAAGCCATTCCGTAAACATGATCCTATAATTTGTTAAGCCAACAAAGCGTGTTTACAATTGTAAAATTGACTCGCTAATGCACTTTTGATCTTGGAGTATGGTAGTTGTATTGGTGGAGGGGTGGGGAAGGGAATTTATGGCTTTTCAACTTGTATGAGTCCTAACTAGGTTGATTAAATTTTATAATTAAATCTTTAGTCAGGCAAGCTGAAGGGTAACATGACCTCTGAACACGGAACAATTCGCCGTGTCAATGAAACTCATGGAACGGAATCTAACGCAAAGGGAACTAGAAATAATAATGAAATAGACTGTGAATTTGCAGTTTCTCGGTAAAATCTTGTTCACGTGTCGAATATCTAAATTGTTTACCAACTGATCACGACATAAACGGTTAATGCCTCTGCCACCACGGCGAAGTACACCAAGGGAGAAGGTAGCAGGGCACATCGTGTTGCTGCGAAATGTTTTGTTACAATTTTGTGACATTTTACCGAACGTAATTTAGGAAAAGCCATATTAGGAAGAAAAGAAAAATCAGAAATAACAGAAAAAAAAAGAAAGCGGAAAGAAGAAAAATTGGTGGCAGCGGTGGGATTCGAACCCACGCCTCCGAAGAGACTGGTGCCTTAAACCAGCGCCTTAGACCGCTCGGCCACGCTACCTGCCGTCCTTAAACATAGGGTAAATTAAACAATAGATTTATTTGGTTTGGCATAATGAGTATTTTGAGTTGTCAGTTAAGCTTTAGCAGGATGGCCTCTGATACAGAGAGCATAACTTCATATTTCTTAATTAACAAGCATGAATAAGCTGCAAATAAATTAAGAATACAATCAGAAAGACGAAGATAAGTACGGTATGCAAGTAATGCAACTGATCAATTTGAATAATTAAAACTGAATTTTTTCAGGTTCGGCGAAGCGTGTCCTAAATCTCTACCCTTTACTCCCTAACATCAATATCCATTTTTTCCGTACTAGTCTCTGTAAAAATTTTTATAGTACTGTCGAGGACACTCTGTCTAACTATTGCGAGCTTCTTTAATTTAGTAGGCGACGTCTTAATTTAACAGTGATACTGTCCGGAGAAATCAGACGCTCGTCTCTCCTAAGAGTTAAAGAAGCTTCGTTGGAATTTTTACGACCTTGCCTGTAGGCTTATCCGCGGATATCACGTAGGCAGCGGAAATATCTTTCCAGTATTCCTTCAAACTCTTTCCTGATTGAACAAAAATGTTCCCGAATATCCTGAAAAACTCGGCCTTGATATATCTTAAATTTTTCTGGCATAAACTCATGGATTTTGCTGCCGTAAGGTACGGTCCAAAATTTGCTTGTTGAATTCAAATGGGTATGAAAGGGATTTTCTACATCCATTGTTGTGGCTGATCAGGCCACTGGAGGTTTGTCGATATTATTGTGCATCCACCATTTTGGAAAGCAGCTTTTGCTTTTAACCGATATAGATAGGAAATTATTATGTAAGGGGGGACTGACGCGATAAGCTGGATCGGTTTTGGCATAGAATTGAATAGCATCCCAAGGAACACAGCACTCAGTCAAAAAGCCATTACTCACGGAAGAATCTTGATATTTTCATATGAATTTCTCGACAGCTCAAATACAACTCACTAATCGTAACTATCCGTATGCAGGAATGGGCTAATACAGCTGACCGCCCGCGGACCCTCAGACGATTGTGCTAATGTCATTTTTGGCTTAATCGGAGCAAACGGGAACTATTTTTCAAAACAACATTGCCAGAATACAATAAGATTTTTGTACTTTTTAAAGCATTAAATTTAAAGGATTTCTTTAATGCTCAAAATGATGTCAATGCTCATTCTGTAGATTTGGGAGCTAACGGAAGTATTTCGTCTTCCCTCTTGTCTAGTCACTAGATCTCTCTCTTTCCAAGTGATCAACAACCAATACAGGCGTTTGGTTAGGCAGCGTCTATCTCGAGTCAGATTTTTTTTCTATCTATTGTATTATGATATGGTATTATCATTTGTTTGAAATGTAGTGGTATGATTTGGGAGCTTTGAAAAAAAGGACTGAGCCCAAAATATGAAAGCATTAGTTGCCAGCAGCATACTTTGTCCCTCATGGCAGATTATTTAACCTTGTCTTAACTACTCGGACTGCGCGCCTCTCTTTCCTTGTCGTGCTATTAGAGAAGAGAAGGATACAGTCAATAGGAGGCTTTACTTTCTCTTCCCTAGATCTCAGACTGCGTGGGCCGGTAAACCGCAAGAGTCTTCCACGTGTGCTCACACGATGACATTAAAATAGAACAGAAGTGAAATAAGACACTTCCTGGTGACAATCAAAACGGACAATGATGATACTCACGTCGTAAAGCTTGGCGGAATAACAAAAGGATATTTGCGACAGATGTGATCTGATCTTCTTAAGACGCTCTGTGGGAGATACAGGGGGGGTGCACATTGTGTACCCGGGGTCGTCAGGGTAAGGGATTTACGCGTTTCGAGAGAGCTAGAACAAACCATAGGAAAAAAAGGACAAAAGGAAAGAAACACGTGTATTTTGATATAGCATGCCGTCGTATTAGGTCCTCTTTTGGACATTCCTTTCTCATTTCAATACTTAAAATGAAGGGCTCGCTTTGGAGATCATAAATGTGTTCCCCCGAAACGCAGCATGCGCCCCGACCGTCATAGTGAATGGATCTTAAAGGCTTATATCCTATTTCAAATTCCGTTGAAATATTTTTCCAGACCAGAGAATAAGCCCTTGAGAATATTGACCAGGGTTTACCAAAGAGAAGAAATTGATAGCTGTCAATAACTTCACCTTGTCTTTCCTCCTCGACATTAAGACTTTAACATGTCAAACGACGAGAAAAAAAAAACTTTCTTGTATGAAAATGGTTTTCAACATTAAATGTAGCGAGGTTAACAAGCCAGGGAAACAAAACAGTGGAGACCTTGTAAACGGATAATTAATTTAATTACGAGATATTACGACACTTGTTAAGGCAGAAGTGGGGATGACTTATTAATGAAAGCGTTTAACAACAAAATGGGCCACCTTGTTTTGAGCACGAATGCCATACCACTATGTCCTCTTGCGAACATGTAGTCAGTGTATATCCAGATGGCTTTTGCCTTCGAGCGAGAGGTGTCGACCGGAAGAGTCGGTAGGCCTTTGTGTTTCCAAGCAGTCATACGCTTGTTTTTCAAACAAAGACTTAAGCAAATCTCCTTTGCTTTTCGCCACTCGAAAATAACCAAACCCCTTTGAGCTTTTCAACTCAAAGAAAGTAGTTAAAAAATTCCCTTTGAATTTCCTGAGCTTCCTTGAGCTAATTAACGCTCATTGTTTCTCCAGTGATCAGCGTCACTTAAACTATTCTTGTTTTTCCATGGAGATGGCCAATGAGATTGAATGATGAAGAAATCTTACGATCATTCTTATCTAAAGATCTTTATTACTGACGTTAGAAGGATTGAGAAAAGGCTCGGACTTAAAGCTTACACTTAATACAGTGCGTTGATTGGCTGAGAAGGTCTTTGCGGCTGTCACGCGTGTCACAAAAATACTCCGCGCTTGTGATGACGGTTGAATCAGACTCGATCACTTCGCCGCAGTTACGGGTCTGTCTTAGCAGTCGGTCAGTAATGGAAAAGTTCGCTGAGTTTGTCTCGTCCATCGGCCAAAGCGCGCGCTCGCCATCCTACATGCAACCGAATGCCCCGATTCCTCGGGCAACGGCAGCGCCAAACTCTCCTCCAGCTAACTACGTGAGTTGTGATATGGCCCGGCAACACGGTACACTCTCCATGAGCACTCAGTCCCAAGCTGGTAAAGTCAAAATTTTGTTTCAGTTTTTAATGTCGAAGTAAAAAGTTTCCGGAAATTGGCGCACATTATGCGAAGCTGTTGTGATTGATCTAATAGGTGGTGAATTGCCTTGCGTTCTGTAATTGTAATTGAATTTTACCTCTAATAATGTTTTGACACTTGTGTTTCAATTACTTCAACAGGGAAATTTTCGCCTCCCGTCGGAGGTTCTACCCAACTTTCTCCCAGTCCTCAGTCTTGTATGGAGATGGAAAACGAAAATAACGAGTCTTCTTCCAAACGTAAAAAGCGTCGAAATAGAACCACGTTTACTTCATTTCAACTCGAAGAGATGGAGCGGATTTTTCAGAAAACGCACTACCCCGATGTTTACACGCGCGAACAACTGGCACTGCGCTGCGATTTGACGGAAGCTAGAGTTCAGGTAAATATGATTTTTGTTGCACAATGATGCGCATGTAGAAGGTGTACTGCTTCCCGAATTCGACGAGTCTTTTGTCTTCGATGAAGTACGGCTTAATTTCTTACATGAATTGGATGGGCACTTTACGCAACCTGTTATACTAATTCAATTAAAGAGTGTTGTTGTTGTTACGTCCATGCGATAACGAAACGAGATTACAAATGTTATTGATAGACTGGATCTTTCCGTACGGTTTCAAGGTACTTGTTTGCCTGGTAGCTGTAAATTGCAAATTCGTTTGCACTTCAAGTTGTTACACAGAATTGAAAGTCGAAAGGGCACTCGACTAATCCAACAGACCCACTCGTGATTCTAGCTTCATCCAGTACGTGCTCTGTGAAGTGAACTTACCACGCAGGAGTAAAATGAAAAATTAAATATGTGGTCGTTAAGCCGAACTTAAGTTCTTCTTTCAGACTAAATTTCTAATGCGTTACCTTTTCCGGCAGTGCACCTTAAATTAAACGCATTTCACGTGCTCACACCCATGGGAATTTTCACTGATTTTAAAGTTGCTTGAACCTTTGTCAGTGTAGAGGGAGTTTGTGGGGTAACGGTGCCAACATCCGCTTGTGGTACACTTTAAGTACAGATCGGGAAGATTTTCCTTTAATATCGACAAAGACATAACGTTTTAGGCAATTTTTTCGAGACGCGGTATCCTGAAACGAAAGATTTGAGCGTCTGTGGTTGAGCGGTGCACTTTGAGAGACGTAACAGAACGACTATCGAAAGCGTGCAACTGAGAGATGTTGTCTTTCTTGATATATCGCAGTCCTCACCGCGAGAAAGATATTCAACGAGCGTTCTTTGTTCATCGTTTTTCTCTAAGACTAATCCTCAAATGCTGTTTGAACATTTAATGGGACAGGAGCTACATGAGCCCAGCTGATCTGTCTTTGCGAGGTTGTAGAATTAGTAGCGCTATCGAAACGCGTGCTGCTTTCCTCTCATAAAGGAAATGACAGTTTGGTAACTGCTAGACATTCTTTACTGCATTCCTTCCTTGAACTTGAATTTTCATTGTGAGAGCATGCAGGGGTTAATATTCCTCTTTAAACGAAAGCTTTAATTTGTGCCTCAAACAGTCTTCACTGATCACACTGATCCAGGTTGGCAGCCTTTGTGGATGTTCCATGACGAGATGAAATCATTCTACCAGTTTTTTTTTTTTTTTTTTTTTAACCTTGCTCAAAGTTGGACCTGTCGCCCATCATTTTTGTGCTTTAATACTATTTACATCCTTTTTATAACCAAACTGAAACCTAAGTATAAAGTCAGACATACATTTTAGGAGTACAGAATGTCAAAAGTAACAGTGTTGAAGTCTAAGTCGTTCCAGAATAATCTCGTGGAAATTCCTATTACTCTGCCAAAAATTTTGCTTCTAAGATATTCGCCCTAAAAGTTAAAGGAACTGAATTTGATAAGTAAGGTACGGGATGGGTGTGAATTGGGGTCCGTGGTTTGCATTCGCTTTGCTGTGCAGATCTCACACTCAGACTCTGTGATTGTAGTTCTTTCATCAATCATTAGTAAATAACATCACCCGTTTAACTGCTCACCGTTGGTCCAAATGAGACCAACGCAAGATCCTAAACAGAGTTTTCAGATCTGAGCTAAATTTGAGCGCGAATAAGCACTTACACAAATTGCAATTCGTTACGCTAGAGGTTATTAAAACAATAAACACATTAGCCTGTTGCAATCACCCGCTATAAAAGCAATCAAGGAATCAAGTTTTAGAAAGCATCACGATTTATCAGACATAAAAAATCGTCTGGAAGCGGGTATTCTCTGGGTCTAAAATTTCTTAAGTTAGAGCTTTCCTCATTCAGTTTGGTGATTGTGGAATTTTTATAAGCACTGATCGATTTATAGGATCTAAGGAAGGGCGTGAGCAAACACTGTTGTTTTGTTGCATAATTGCAAGGTTCGCTAGCGGAAGATTTTGTAAATGCAGGTTTTTTTTACGCACATGTGAAGTCCATCGCTTAAAATCATGCCATTTGGATTTGAAGTCGGTTTTGCTGAAGCGGTACAAGGATATAACGTCCGATACCCATATTCGATGCTCAAAAATCTTACCCAGTAAATCGCTTATCTAACTCTTGATCGTAAGTGTTTTCCCTATCAATACTTCGATATGTATCGCAAGTTGCGAATGATGACTCAGCTGTCAGATTTAAAACTCAGAGAAAAACTTATCTCTTTCTTCAATTTGGAGATATAAGAGGCGGAAAATTAGTATTTGAAAATTGACAATTATTCGTACTGAACGTCGCGCTCATCATTTTAAGCTCTCTGTAATCTTGCCCTTGCCTTCGGAATATCGTGCACCTTATTTTCGCCAAAAATGTGGCGGTAACATCAAAGGAAACCCGATAAATCTTGGCTGGCGTTACACAGGACAGCCTGTCTAATGTCTGTTTGCTTTATTCTTCATGAGCAAATTGTAAACTTGTTAGCTTGCACCGCTAATGATTCTGTATGTTTTCCTAATTAAATGATTTGTCCAGGGCAATTTTCACTTCTATTCCGGGCAAATAAAAATACGCATTTGAAATGAAGAGGTCGCGTAGAAATCTTTGGTAACATGACGTTCTCGTCTTATCGAGAGAGCTCAAGCAAATCTGACAGCCGAATATTATAGCTGCTATTGAGACGTTATTTGCTGATCCTATTAACTATGACTAAATATTTAAATTTTCTTATATGGTCAAGGTTAGAGTTGTAAAGCAAACTCGCTTGTATCACCTAAACGCGCGTGTTTTTAGCGTTGTTTTTATTGACGCATTCGGAAAACTGATACCGGAAGTTGGGATGCATGTTGTCTGACTCTGTGATATTGCCGAGCCACGCAATACGTTTTTCTTGTCTGCTTATAGCTGCACATCACATCAGCGCCTCTGTTCAATTCTACTTTTGGAGCACTTTACTCTGACATTGTCTCTGTATAATTTAATCGAATTAACAAAATTATTTTAGGTGCACACTTAATTATTTGTTTTGGTGCGGATGCACCCTCGCACAGCTCGAATGTTCTTGTACTTTCACGTTTTGCCCCCTCTCTGACAAACTCGTGCTGGACTCATCTAACAAATTCAAGGTTCTTAAAGTTCCCAGATCCTGTGGCTTAAGCTGGAAGTCGTTCTCGGAAGTTTTCAGTCGTCGCCTTGAAATAGCTTTCTAGCTATCTTTAGCTTTCTTTTAGATTTGAGATGGTAGCCTATCTTTCAACATACAGCCAATTCCTGAGACTTCATCTTTTACGTACATCGTGTTGTAAACTCTAATGCTGTATTTCAAACATTTTAAGAGGGCTCACTTAAAAGAAGGCACAAGCAACCCAAATTTTTCTATTCAGATTTTATGCAGCGAAATAAAAATTGTAAAAAATTTTTTACCAAGTTTTGGCTATCCTTAAAGACAGTTTTACGGGATATATGTGTAAAAAAATTGTAGAAAAAATAGAATGACTGAAAGAGAAAGTACCAGGACAGTAATTAATTGTTGAGCTATGCTCTCGAAATCTTGAAGAGGCTAATAAGTTTATGATTATTCAAACCAAAAAAAAAAGCATCACTTACACCTACTGTATTTCAAAACTATTTTCGTTTGATATCTTAGGCTTACACTTGAAAGAGAACACCTTCCTTAAAGGGTTGGTCAGTGTCGTTTTTCAGACTCTGAAGAAGCTAAATGACGTAAGGGCATTTGGAACTAACAAGGCTCAACTCACACTGCAACCACTTAACTGATGGTTGATAAATTGTCGTAAATAGATTCCGTCGGCAAAATTAAAGAACCAAGAAAGGTTAATCCACGCGCAATGTGTTCAACAAGGCTCTTGAAAGTTGCACGCACAGTTTTCGTGAGAGAAGTCTGGACAACACGTCGGGTGGAATAAAAATAGTTACTTAAAAATTGAACTTTGCTAACTTGTGATCCAGCTGGTCCCACAGAAAGTCAAACTTAGTTTGGGAGCAGTCTACTCTCTACTCTTTCAAGACGAAATTAAGCGTAGTTATGTAGAGACGTACTGCGCTTGTAGTATTTATCGGAAAAATGATATCCCTCTGATTTCCACTTTCTTAACAGCACGCGTAATAACCAGATTTTGGTAGACTTTGAAAGAAGTTTGTTGTAGCAGTTGATCTTGGGTAGGCCTTGTCTCAATTTCTGTTTTAGTCATGACAGAGGAATCAGTGTTGTAAAGCTGCACTGCACTTGGAAAAGGAGAATATGTCAGAAAAGTTTATTAGTATTTTAATAAACACTTCCCCTCTTTGAATAAATCAATGATAAGAGATAAGGTTGAGGTCGAGAGCAAACAGCGATTTGTCCGTCTGCGGTCGCCTTTGTGCATGTTTTCTTGCCTGATTTTATAACATACTGCTCAAAAGAAGAATTGTAGGTGAATCAAAGATAACGAATGTAAAGTGTAGAAATTAGGCTTGGTTTTTACTTTTCTCATGGTACGGTTTACCTTCAAGTTGTTTAGTTCGCTCAGTAGTATTTCCCAATTTGACCCCCATTTGGCAACATATGTCGCCCATATGAGAAAGTCTTGTATATGATGTCTGTTTGCCTTGTCTTCATCAGCGTCGTTTTTGTTGTGTTTTTAGGAAAATTGAGATTTAGATAGACTCAGAAGAACTCAATTCAATGTTTTTGTTTTGGTGCTTTCATCTGTCGGGTCTTGATTTTTGCTTTTGAGTGTTAGTTTGTGTAAAATTTTGCATTAGCTTTATAATAGCAACGTTCTAAGATCTATTCCTTTTCTACCGACAACTTTTTGTTCCTTAGTGTTTGTAAGCGGCCTCGAAGTTTGGCCAATTTTCTCAATTTAAACTATTTCAATGCTTTAAGTGATTGCATGCAAAGCTTCAGAGCAGAAGAAGCTTCTTATTAGGCCATGAAAGAGCTGCATGAAGGAGAAGGTTTCTTCTCTTTTTCTG